TTGCTACGTCTCTGGACTTGGGAACATGTCAGTTGCGTTGCTGTCTATGGAGGGTCAGACAGCTCTCAGATTCCATCAAAAATATCTTAATTTGTCTTTCGAAGATGAACTTACGGGTTTTGAAACGACACGAGGGTGAGTAATTAATGACAGAATTTTCATTTTTGGGTGAACTAACCCTTTAATTGTATATCTTCCTGGGTGCTGCCATGTTCACATTAATTTCCTTCCAATACAACTTTACAAGTTTCAAGTTAAAGGTCCAAATTTAAATGACACTAATGCACTTTTCTAAGTAGGTAGTTGAAAATGACCAAAGATTGTGAGTTCCATAACATTAGAACGACTTAAAACAACTGACACAATTTATTAAACAAATCCAATCAGCTGCAAATTAAGCCATCAAATAGTAATGAATAATAATCAATCTGTTTTGTAACCGTATTTAGCTCTCTAAAACACAACTGACAACTGTACTTTAGTATATTCTGAATTCTAGTATAACTGAAGTCACATAAAAACAAAAACATCTGTCATTTTAACTTATTTTTGTTTTTAAAAAATATTAAAAAAATAAAATAAAATAAAATAAATGTAAACTAATTTATGAATAAATAAATACTTTTCTCAACAACAGCAGCAACATACTGTCTCTCCAACAGGTAGTGTTGCTCCACCACAGGGGATCTGACCAGAATCCCCAAACAAGCATGACACAGCAGTGGTAATTAAGCAGAAACCGATTAATCTCTAGCACAGCGAGAGCGTAATAAAACTAACAGGCATGAAATGAGGACTGCCATGTCATTAGCCGAGGACTCCGCCCCCACTGGCTTGTTTGGGCCCAAGCTCATTATGGGTAGGGATAATGTACCAGTGGAGCTCCTTAGGTTGAGAAACTTACACTAACCTCTGGCCCTCTGCCTGTCTGTCATTTATTGAGCTACAATGTGATACTTAATATAGAAAAGGCTTTTCAATTCAGACACAACCGGTTGTGTTTAGGTGGGATTTGAATTGTAGGATATGAATCTATATCACAGTGTCACTGTTTTGCTGCACTGGATGAACATTTGGGATGTGAAAGAAAGAATTTATGCGTATAATCCATTACAGACAATCCTATTATTCCATTGTGCCGTTCTATCACAGCTCCATAAAGACATCAATCCAACGAGTCACAATCCAGCTACTCTGACATGCAATCTAGAAAATGGAGTGCTTATTCTTATTTCATGATGCGATCAATCCTGGATTCCAACCATAAATAACATCTCAAAAAGCAACATCACACACAATGTCTTAAAAAACGTTTAGCCTTAAAAAATTATTAGTAACAACAGTTTCTCTGACTTACTAAGAGAGAGGCTGATTTCAGATTTTGTGCTTTTTCTATACATGAACTGGTTTGCAGTGGCAAATAACTAAAAAAGTTTGGTATTAATATGAAAAACAAAGCACACTAACAAGATATTTTCTACCCATCTATAGGATGGAAGAAAACATCAAACTAGCTTCTGGCTCAGCGTTAAGAAATGGCACTCATGCGGGTGACTTCTGGGAAAGATCTAAGACTTATGATGAACAATATATATATTGATTTACTCTCTATTTGTCACCAATTATAGGTCTTTGCTTATCAATGCAGAGGGATTAAGATGTGCACTGAGCTACTTTATAAACGAGTCAGTCTCTGTGAAATAGGATTGAAGCCCCTGGGCTAAAAGGAACGGTTTAACTACAAGCTCCAGTAGTTACAAATTGGCAATAATATGATGAAGCTGGCTATGGTCTCCCAGAGACGTGTTTTTACAGTATTCCGGGAACAAAAGTTGTTTTGAAAGACCCTGTGGAATGCCTGAAGGGCCACCAGTGCAGTTTGAGAGGTTATGTGGCCCTCAAGCCCATGCTAATAAGACACTCGCATATAAAGGCTGTGCAAAAGTTGCCTTGTGAAAAAGGTTTATTGCACTTAGCAAAAACACTCTGCACAGCAGGAGTGTAGAGAAAGGAGGGAGGTACTCTACCCCAAAACCTTTTTCTTAAGTAATATTTGGATGCAAAAATTGCTCATCAACATCATTTATTTATTTAGCTTGTCTGCTAGGTATAATTATTAAACTGCCTGACATAAATGAGGATTTGTCAAAATTGCAAGATTTATTACCGTTTTGGTAGCACATATACAATAACTGTATAATTTACAGAAATATTAAAAATTTTCTTTACCATTTAAAAAACATTTAAAAAATCATATGTGCAAAAAAATGTATGATTAAAATAAATTGCCTGACACATATGAGGCTGTCGTCATAAATGTAATATTTGTGACTGCCTTGGTAGCATCAAAAAGTGTTTATACATCTATTGTTCTTCTGGAATTGTATCATTTCAACTGTAAAATTTACAGACATATTTCAAAATTTCTTTGTAAGGAAAATCTAACATTTAAAAAAATATATAATTTATAGGTGCAAAAATATTATATGTAAAAAAATGTTTTTTTAATAATTAAATGTAAAAATTTGACATTTAGAAATGTAGAAATAATATTTAGAAATATATTAAAAACTATAAATGCAAATAAAACATTTTGGTATAATTACATTTAATTTAGTATATTTAAATTATATTTAATCTTCCTTCATAATGGTTTAAAATATAGTTAAAGTGTACATTTTTTATTTTATTTCATATTTTATTATTCATAGAATTTTCTGTTGAAAACAAAATCAAGGGGCTTAATCCTAGCAAGCAGAAAACACCCTTACTGTTCAGTCCTGCAATTAAAGTTATATTTCAATGAAAAAAAAAAGTGTGATTAAAAAGGACAATTTTTTACCTAATATTAGCATTCCAATTGTTCATTTGAGAGGTTCCATTATGGTTAGAATGCTAGAATGAAGAAGATTTTGGAACAGAGCTCATGTGTTAAAAAGTGGGTGGCTGAAAGTGAGAGAAAGAGAGAGGGTATCAGCATAACCAGCAGCCCTCTGCATATGACAGGAACAGGTTGGCAGCATACAGTCTGAGTTCAGCTTAGCATAATTCTTGTCTCAGTCTGTGGCGGGAGAGGGAGCGTTGTGGGAACAGGGTGGCATATGCTGCCCCACACCATGTTCTGGCAGCCTGACGCTCTGCACACATTTGTAAACTGTAAGGAGAAGGGGAGCAGGTGAAACTACAGCAGTCTGTCTTTTCTGTCACTTAGCAAGGTTTATACTACGCTCCCTGAAAGTGTTACTGAGACTGTCTATGCCAGCGTTTATTCTGAACGTGATGTCTCTATAATGACTGACCTGTGGTAAAAACAGTTGGCCGCAGTAGGGTTTTCCATTACTGTGGAATTCCTGCTTATCATAAAAGTACTTTTGCATGTTTAACTGTGTACAATTAAACTATGCAAACTTCTTTCCCTTTTACACTTTGTATTCACATCAGCACGCACAGATTCTAGCACCTTTACGGAAAAACAGTCTCCTGAGCTCAACACTCAGACAAGCAGAACACAGACTGTCAGATGCTCTAAAACATAACACAAAATTTTGAAACAAAGAAAAGCCTTTAAGATTGCACAAACAATATTCCACATCCATATTCAACACTATGTATGTCTGTAAATGCATGTTTGTTTGTGTGAATGTTAAAGGAATAGTTCACCTAAAAATGAAAGTTACTCTATGCCATTGCTCACTCCTCCTCATGTTCCATGTTCCACCTTTAACATTCTTCGGGGAAGTACTGTATATTTAATACTTTCAGCATATTAAAAATCTAGTTCAGATTTTGTCATCTTATATGTCATGCGATGGTGATTAATGCCAAGTTCCAAAATGACATGCAAATCCATGAATGTTGAGATAAAGGAAAAAAAACAGGCATCTGAAAGTTACGATTGACAATTGGCCCTTCGAAAAAACCTGCCCTCCTTAGTTACTGTTGCTATGTCCGACAAGCCATGCCGCTCTCACACTACATGCCATATTCTCACGCAGTGAAAAATACATCGCGGAGCAAAGAGGAAACTGACAATGCGCCAACAGACAAGACAGAGCTGGTTACTTCTGGTATGAAACAAGGTCTCAGGTGTCAAATTTTGTAATTTAGTAAGAAATTCAAACAATAAATACTGTTTTGTGGCTCTTTAATGTGTAGTGACAGATCACTGTAGCGCCTCAGTTCAAATGGTACATAAAACGATCGTCCTTTCATATTTACTTAAAGCATGAAATAAACATGAATGAACATCAGAATGTATTTTATTTAAACTGCGGAAAGATGTCAATGCACACCATTTTCAAGTTTAAGTCCACAGAAGTTAATCTACTCTCCGGTCTGATTAGTTTGTCAGACAAAATGGTGGATTTGGCATTATGACTGGTCAGATCGCCTGTCAATCAAGCTCTTAGTGAAGGGTCAATTAGCTGGGAAACTCTGGATGGTGCAGGCTAATAGGTCCTTTACCTGCAATCTGCTAGCAATCACATCATTTATTACACAGCACAAGCTGATTGGCCTGTGCTGATTCTGCAGCCAGTGAACTTGCTTGCTCAACATTTAAATAGACTGGTTCAGTGTTTGCTGAAAGCTGGCTGCTATTAAAGTTCATCCGAAACCATCCACCTCCCCCAGCACCACCTGTCTATCTGTAGATTTGTGTATGCCTATTCATGCAGCATATCTTACATGCTCACAGCAGCATGTCTGTGTATCTATTGGCAGTAGCAAGTCCATACTTGTTCTGCAGCAGCGTACGTAGCCTAGACCATTATGCTGCACCAGAAGCCTGTCCGAAATCAGTTTTAGAATGTACTGTAGTTTCAAATGTAAACTCGGCCTGAGATGTCATTGGTTTATAGGGTAGTAGACGTAGCCATTGAAAACTCAGAAAACTCAAAACATAGTGCACACATTTAATATTTGACCCTTCTTTTTTGCCATTTGGCATTATAATTCACCATTAAGTTTTATGGGAAAAAGTTGATCAGATTTAGCCCCACATCTTATTTTGGTTCACATATGTTTGGTTTACAGAAGAAAGAAAATTATAAGGGTTTGGAATGATGTGGGGCTGAAGAAAGGAAAAAGTTGTCATTCTTTGCAGAAACTGTTCCATTAAATGAATTCTAATAGGAACTCACATGGTATAGTACATCGGTCCATCCTTCCATGGTGATGCACTGGAAGACTGTGAGGATGGCAAAGAGGATGTTATCGAAATTGGTGATGCCGAAGTTGGGTCCTGTCCAGTACTCCCTACATATTGTTCCATTGGGACACACTCTTGAAGGACGTTCTGCTCCACATGGGTAATCACCAACTTTTTCTCCTGCACACACAAACAAACAGAAAACAAACCTTTATGTATTACATTACAGGCCTATTTCAATAATCATTACACATTTGGAAGGTAAATTAATGCAACCACTCTCTCCAATCAAACACACACACGCACACACACACACACACACACTCTCTCTCTCTCTCTTTCTCTCGGAGGCATATCACCTGCTGATGTTGCTGATTGAGGGGTGAAGCAGGCAGCAGCTGAGCACATGTTAGCAGCTCAGCTTCTTATTGAAAACCTCATCACCAAGACAAGCTAATTACATGCACTGTGTTGAACTAAAATAACTCGCACACACATATTACATTAACAACCTGTCAAGATCCCTCACACCATGAATACAGAAGTATAGTACATAAATACAAACATGTGCATACACACAAACACAGCCTCCAGCTGGAATAGCACAGTTTATGTCCTCATCTTCGAGAGTCGTGCTGTGCGGATACAATAGAAAAACATTTGCTCTTCAAGCTCTTTCAAGAAACGACTTTTTACCTCTTTCTGTGTCACAAAAGACCTTTAAAAATCACTCAGTGATTCAGGAGTCAGTGTGCTACACTTGCCTGCAGGATAAATCATGAAAACATCCGCTTTACAATGGCAATCAATGATATTTATTTTAAGAAATGTAATTACATTTGCTTCTATCAATCTATTATGTGGTACACTAGGATGTACTAAAGTCAGATGGTAATTGGAATTAGGGGTGGGAGTCAACAGGGACCTGGTGATATATTATATAGATATCTGGGTCATGATATGGGTGTTAATACAGCTCAAAAAATTGTGTAGATTAGCAGGGATTTTGAAACTGTTTGATGCAACGAACCCTCAAATATGATAATCCCCTTGCAAAGGACCCCCATCTTAAAATATGAAGGGGCAGGGTTTGCTCTGTTTGGTTAAAAACCCCTCACATCTATGTACTTACACACCAGAACACAATTAAATGCTAATAAACATCTACAATTAATGTGTTCATTAGGAGACAAGGAGAAAAACAGAGATGAAGAGAGAAAAAACACTAAGATCTGTCATGTCTCTCTCACTCACATTCAGTCTCTAGCTGCAAAGGAAACAGCAGTTTTGTGGGTAAATGTCAGTCAGTGAAAAGCGAGGCAGGTGGAGGAAATTTGCATAAACAAAAGAAAGAGCCTGAGAGGACCTCTGATCCAAACAGAGCTCTGCAAAAATCTTCTAGAGTTGTCTCTGTTTAACAATTGTTCAAATATATATTTTGTATTCATATTTTCATTAAAAAAGTTTTTTAACAACAGGTTTTGTTTCGCAAAGGCTTTATTGTGTAAATGGTGTCTTCACATTTTGTTTCTATCTTGTGATACCAGTGCGGGTTTCTTTCTGCTAGAGTGTCTTTATTATCTTCAATATAAACTGATAAGGAGTCGCTTTCTTTGGACTCTCTAAATTCGTTATTTAATGTGTGCTACAAAGGGCTGTTTTGAGATTGTGTGCTTTGAAACGTCTCTGACTGCAGTGGCTGTAAGATTTATTTCCTTGGTGCTCTCAAAGAAGCTTTTTAGTTTACACAACAGGAACTAACCTGTATCCACTTTAAAGCAGGTGAAGTGGAATTTGCCCATGTAGAACTCGACGCCGATGATGGCAAACATAACAATGGCAAAGAAGAGCAGCAGTCCAATCTGAAGAAGGGGAACCATGGCCTTCATAATGGACTTTAATACTACTTGAAGACCTAAAGAAAGAGAGAAACATTACATTGAGTTAAATGAATCATGGTTAGTCACTGTTAAATTGAAGTGTATTGTACTGCCAGACACTTACTTGGGATTCCAGACACCAGTTTGAGGGGTCTCAGCACTCTGACGGCCCGCAACGTTCTTAAGTCAAACTGCGAACCCAGTGTGGTTAAAATCCTGTCACAAATCCACAAACATGCAAAAGTCAATAGAAAGCAGAGACCATCATAGACACTGATTAATTCAGATTAGTGGACAAACAATACGGGCTGTTTAATTAATAAATTATTTAATTTGGACTGCTCCAGTCTTGGATATTTGGTTACATCCTTCATAGAAATAACCTCAAATATAAACATGAACAGTTAAATATAATAATTATAATTATATTTATGCTGGAGATGTTGCCACAGTTCTTCTGGATTTAGTCTGTCTCAGTTTGTTCTGTTTCTTCATGTCATTCCAGACAGACTGGATTATGATGAGATCAGATCTCAGTGTGGAGCACTGGCTGTTGTCAGACAAAAATCTCACTGGATTAGTGCAATTAATGGCAAAATGAATGTTTGGAAATGTAAACTGATATTTCCTACTGACACACTACAGCAAAATATAGAAATAAATGACTTAAAACCATTATTTAACTGTAGCTGGTGAAAATACTAGTGTTCTAATAATTATGGCCACCACTGTGTATCTTTATATATATACAGTGGGTACGGAAAGTATTCAGACCCCCTTAAATTTTTCACTCTTTGTTATTTCGGTGTTGTGTGTTCTGGGAAATCAGCATAACCTAATCTAATCTAATCTAATCCCATCACCACAGTGACACCGCCGAGATGACAGACATTAGATGTTGCCATGGCAATGTAGTTGGCTGGTGTAGCACACATGAGCCCGTGTGTCCTCAGGAGCACTGGAGTGGAACCAGCCGCACACTGCATGTGTGCAAAAGATCTTCCCATTAAATCAATCATCAACTTGCAGCAGGCCAATTGAGAAGCCTTATATAAAAGTTACAGTTCTTATGTATGCCAGAGGAGCATCTTTCTTCACTGACATGTGATCTAATTTGCTCATAAGACGAGAGAGAATAAGAGGATGAGAGACTGAAAGAAAGATGGATGTATGTGAAGAGGGAAGAGAGGATAGCAGCAGGGTTGGGGTGGAGGGATCATGCAGAGTACTGTGAGGCTGAGCAGACATGCCCCATTAAATATGATAGAGCTGCCGCAACACCCCCGCAGTCTATCTAACTCACTACCCAGAAAGGAGGAGGAAAGTTAGACAAGGAGGAAAAGTTAGCAAAGTTTTCAGCATTCTTTTTTTAATAAAGCTGACCTTTACAGAAAACGTAATCCTGTGTGGCGACAACAGCGCCCTCTGCTGGAGCTGTGCAGTCAGAGTCTGAGCTGTACATCTCGCAGGCATACACGCTAGGGACCACCAAGACATGCAGAGCCAATGCTCGAGAGAAAATAAAATAAAAGGTGACATAAAGAATGTTAATTCTTGCATCATAATCAGCATGTCACTGAAAATTTGGGAAAAAATTGTATTAAAACTTAATTTGTTTGTATTCAAAATTCTTACATTCTACCTAAAAATATGCAAAAAAACAAAACAAAACAATTTATTACATATATGGTGACATTTAATTAAAAATAAATAGCTATAATAAGCAGATTCTCTTAAAATATAACCTATATAATAAATATGAGTAATATATATGATTTACTTGTGTATACACTGTAAAAAACATACTTTTAGAAGTTGTGAATAAATCAAAGACTATTGGACTACGTTTAAAAAAATTTTTTTTTTTAAAAAGATCAGTACAGGTTGTTTAATTCTTAAAGTCCCAATTAAATCAAAATTAAAGTTTTTTGGGTGTTAGTATCAATATGTTAGTCTTAAGGTTATCTATAAGGCAGTGTGCTCCAAAACAGTGACAAAATTCACATTTAGAAGAGATAAGCATTCAAAGCTTGCAGTTCGTCACTTCCGCCAAAATGCCTCAACGATTTTTTTTGACGTCACATCGTACTTCAGCTTCTCATCAAACTTTGTCCAATCAAATGCTTTCTAGAATCCGAAGCGCCCGCCCCCGACACTATAAAATAGACGTTGAAGCCGCAGCTGAAATCGGTCACTTGTCCACAGAATTAGTATTTCCTGTACAGTGAATGGCACGTAGTGCACTATATAGGGGACAGGGAACGATTCAAACAGTGTAAATATGCTTTCCATTGAGGAAAAAAAGAAGTCTGGTTTCACGCTGTCACGCTAACCACCGCACCACACACTCTGCTCCGGTCCAGAGACATGATAGCACGGAGCGGATCACATGCACAAGCCGGCGCAGACCACAAAATGTATCGGAGCTATTTGAATTCTACACAGAATGCTATATTTTATAGCAATCTGGATGAGATTGTGGCTGGATTTGATACCCTGTCAAATGCGGCTTTACGGAGCTCAACAGCTCTAAACGGCTCTAGCCCAAGCTGTGATATAAACGAACGCTATTGTCTATTTTAAAAGGGGGCGGGGCTGCTTGATATGTCCCGCCCTGTCTTCCTGTTTCAGTTAAAATGATGTCAACGCATAGAGTAAAGGCCCGTTCACACCAAGCACGATAACTATAAAGATAACGATAAAGATATAGTTCTAAAAATCATTCTCAATATTAAAGAATAGCATAGCTCATACCACAACTATAACGATACAGAGGAACGATATCGTTGTGATCACTTTCAAAACGATTTTTTCCCAGCTGATGAACGATAAAGCACTGACAGCCAATCAGAATCCATCCTGCTGTAACGAGCTCAAGAATTTAAAGTGGCAGACGCGTGTGTACTTAGAATAAACAGATGATATCGTTCGCTGGTGTGGACACTAATATCGTTATCTTTATAGTTATCGTTCTTGGTGTGAACGTGGCTTAACGCTGCGCGTTTCTAAGCATTTCAGGGGACCTTTAAATTACTCCATTTGGCTGGCTCCAGTCTTGGGTTTTTGGTTACATCCTTGATAGAAATAATCTCATATTTAAACATGCAACATAATTATTATTATTATTATTATTATTATTATTATCATCATCATCATCATCAAAGCATAATTTTAAATAAAAATCTAAAATAATAATAATAATAATAATACAAATAATATTTATCTTATATAACAGATATTTACTGTAATTATATTATTTAGTTACAGTTCTTATGTATGCCAGAGGAGCATCTTTCTTCACTGACATGTGATCTAATTTGCTCATAAGACGAGAGAGAATAAGAGGACGAGAGACTGAAAGAAAGATGGATGTATGTGAAGAGGGAAGAGAGGATAGCAGCAGGGTTGGGGTGGAGGGATCATGCAGAGTACTGTGAGGCTGAGCAGACATGCCCCATTAAATATGATAGAGCTGCCGCAACACCCCCGCAGTCTATCTAACTCACTACCCAGAAAGGAGGAGGAAAGTTAGACAAGGAGGAAAAGTTAGCAAAGTTTTCAGCATTCTTTTTTTAATAAAGCTGACCTTTACAGAAAACGTAATCCTGTGTGGCGACAACAGCGCCCTCTGCTGGAGCTGTGCAGTCAGAGTCTGAGCTGTACATCTCGCAGGCATACACGCTAGGGACCACCAAGACATGCAGAGCCAATGCTCGAGAGAAAATAAAATAAAAGGTGACATAAAGAATGTTAATTCTTGCATCATAATCAGCATGTCACTGAAAATTTGGGAAAAAATTGTATTAAAACTTAATTTGTTTGTATTCAAAATTCTTACATTCTACCTAAAAATATGCAAAAAAACAAAACAAAACAATTTATTACATATATGGTGACATTTAATTAAAAATAAATAGCTATAATAAGCAGATTCTCTTAAAATATAACCTATATAATAAATATGAGTAATATATATGATTTACTTGTGTATACACTGTAAAAAACATACTTTTAGAAGTTGTGAATAAATCAAAGACTATTGGACTACGTTTAAAAAAAATTTTTTTTTAAAAAGATCAGTACAGGTTGTTTAATTCTTAAAGTCCCAATTAAATCAAAATTAAAGTTTTTTGGGTGTTAGTATCAATATGTTAGTCTTAAGGTTATCTATAAGGCAGTGTGCTCCAAAACAGTGACAAAATTCACATTTAGAAGAGATAAGCATTCAAAGCTTGCAGTTCGTCACTTCCGCCAAAATGCCTCAACGATTTTTTTTGACGTCACATCGTACTTCAGCTTCTCATCAAACTTTGTCCAATCAAATGCTTTCTAGAATCCGAAGCGCCCGCCCCCGACACTATAAAATAGACGTTGAAGCCGCAGCTGAAATCGGTCACTTGTCCACAGAATTAGTATTTCCTGTACAGTGAATGGCACGTAGTGCACTATATAGGGGACAGGGAACGATTCAAACAGTGTAAATATGCTTTCCATTGACTAAAATTTAAATGAGCTACCATCAAATTTAGCCCTGCACATAATCATTATGGAGACAATAGAAGTCAGAATGAGCATATACAGTATGGCTGTTTTAACAAAAGATTGCAGTCAGATGATGAACCTGAAAAGGCTGTTAGGGATTGATTGTTTATGAAAACCATCTCTGAGCTGAAACAGTGACTGCAGTTCATAACTAATGCACACTTGTGATTGACAGCTGCTGATTTGTGGCACTCGGCTGAATGTGCCGCCAGTCACGCTGCACTCGCCAGTGCTACAAACTGTAAGACAGGATGAAAAGAAGAAGCGGGAGAGAGCGGCGGAGAGGGAGAGCGTGAGTGAGACTCTCACCCTCAGCGGGGGGTGCTGTGATGTAATTACTGTTGCAAGGTGCTGGAATTGGGTTTTTCACACATCTCAGAAAGAGACTTATCCCTCTCAGATGATCGTCCAGTGTCAGAGAAGAGCTGTCAGTCAGCCTCGGGCACACAGTGACCTCACAACCTCAACAGAGCAACTCAGACCTTAAGACTAGAGAACAACCTGAGCAGAATACGAAGGGAAATGTATCTGGAAGGTGTTACAAACAGAAGACTTGTCAGCAAATGATGATCTTATGAGCCGAACACCTTCTCAAGAGTCAAGACGACCTGTTGTAAAGGCACTAATGAGATCTCTTTAATGTCTTCAATGTATGAATTGTTTCTTTTAGAGAG